CAAAACATCGAATCATAGCATTCATTCTTCATTGGACTGGCTCTGAAGAAGCTGTCTATTCAGTGGTCACCCGGTGTTGCAAACAAGGTTATTGTGACGAAAATACACTTCCTGGGTACAAGTATATGAATGAACTGACAAAAGATTACCGGATACGCATGCCTGACGAGCGGCAAGAACCGCGAAACCGGTCGTGTGCTTCCAGGGAAATATTGCTCAGTCATTCACATACCACTTATTATCATATATATATATATATATATATATCGAGGCCTTATGTGATTCATCACTCCAAATCCCGGGGCTAAGGTTACCGGTTTCCATCAATGAATAGCAGGTCTCCGTGATTAGGGGGTTTACCCGGTCCGCTGTTCATCACACAAACGTGTGTGATAAAACATAAATAAACGCACCACAATGGAAAGTAATGTATGCTTAAAATCAATCGAAAATTTTGATGCACTTTTTTCCTTCTTCCTACTGATAACCATTATGGCAATGAACCTTAAAAAAAGGCTTACCATTCACATTGAAATTAAATTTAATTCTATTGCACTGTGAATTGTAGCGATCAAAATTGCCCGGGCAAGATAACTTACCCACATTTCGTCGAGCAGTTTGTCTATAGCTGACTGTGGCCGAGCCAAATTTGCCACTGTTTGTGACCACGACCACTTCCATCTCACCTTCGCCCAGTGGTGTGATAGCTGTGATCTTTTTCGATGAGAACCATTGGGCAGTGGGTCCAACATCGATTTGGTTGATAAAAACATGGGTCAGATCGCTTGCTGTTACGCCCAAATTCTCTCCTCGAATAGTGAGTTTTGTACCGGGATGACCTTCGATGGGCGAGATACCGGTAACAAGAGGCGGGGGACCTTCGACTTTGGGCATTCTTGCTACTTGTCTGGAAGAGGAACATCCAATTTCAATTAATCAGTGATTAGCAGATAATAAACACGCGAATGAAGTCAAAAACAAAAGAAAGAGGGAAGGAAGTATACACTGTCGCTCATTCTAAAGGCGACGAGGGTATGAAAACCCTAACCAAGAGACTGGGTCACATAGGTCCTGTTAGGCTCCCTGGCTNACCTCGAGATGGTAACCGATGCTTAGAGACACTGAATGATATGGTTGGGTGTCATAAACAGTGGCGTTCGTGCATCTCCTCAATTTCTTTACAACCTTAGACCACTGAACTTCTCCATTTTCTGTTTGACTTCAACTTTCCTTTCTCCTACTCTTCATCCAAATGGGCAGCCAGAAGACAGCAACCAAAACCGGCGCACGAATATGCGTGGTTAATGGTTATACAAACTGAACTGAACTGAAAGGCGACAACGNGGAATTTCTCAAGAGACAGCTGTTTAAAACGACCTTCGGAATTCTCCCCGCAGTGCAAGTATATTTTTTCACCACCAGTTGACCTTTAGGGTCCTCGACATCCGGGGCTATAGCTGGGTTTGTGAACCCCTGGTAGTTTACCCAGAGGAGTTGACCAAAAACCAAATCATGAAAAGGCGTACGAACCACACCCACACCTATCCGCTTGTGGCAGTGGTCACCGGCTCCATTGGACATCAAGGTGTATCGGGAACCTTGGAAGTTAGACCCCCTCCAAAGGACGTATGATCCGATGAACTGGACACCCGATGGATTACGGTTTTCACACAGAACCCCGTTGCCTTAAGGATCAGGCTTTGGCTAACCGAACGCTCCAGTTGTGGATTCCTCAAGAAAAATCACCTGCTTTGACCGGAGCAACCTGACAGTATCCAGTCCACATGTAACTCATAGAGCATTATTGTGCAATAACTTTTTAGAAACATTCTAGCCTCAGTGGCAGGCAGCTCTGCTGTCGTCCGGTCCAATACCACACCTGACCGATCGGGGCCTTATGTGGTTCGCCATTCCAAGTCCCGGGGGTTAGGTTACCGGTTTCCACCACTGAACAACAGGTCCTCGTGACTATGGGGTTCGCCCCGTCTGCTGTTTATCACACCTAGGTGTGCAATAAAAAAAGACCTGTGTGAGATATAAGAAAATATATATTACGACTGAGGCAGCGAAAGATGTTCCACCATCGGTCTACCTACCTTGGTCTATGTATTTCCACGTACATTTGTAGTGTGACACACTGGGCTTAAAATTAGGCGATTAAACAACCATATTCCTGAGAATTGTAACGATTTCACAACCCGAAAGACGGCAGACATATGCAGTACCAAAATTTCAAGTGTACTTCTTCATGCCTTGTCTCCGTGTCATCTGTTGATCTATACGTGATTTCTCCTAGGCTGAAACGGCAACTGTAAACAAGATAGACGATGCCTGGTAATACACATGTGTCCTAAGCAACGAAGCCCATTAATCTGAATTTTGTCTGATCACGAATTTCCCATCGAAGCACACCCGAATGGGATCTCGGTGTCACGTACTCGCTTGTTTCATTCTACTCACACCAAATTACATTAACATTTAAACGAAACCATCTACGTTTCCCTGCTCCACGACAGCATACCAACCATACAGTATCTTAAAAGACTAATTCCACGTTGCCACACAAACAGACCACATTCTTTCCCTTCCTCAATTGTTGAACTTTCCTATGCTCGGTTTATCACCCATTATCTCGAGTCTCTAACAGTATGTTGCTCAAGACAACGATAGAAGCCAGTCTTGTGCCTGTGCGAAAGTAGCAAGCATCCGCTTCGGTTATTCCGAAAACAGTACTCGCACTCTGATCGCAACTGAAGTTAGTGACTTCCGACATTTGAACGCTTACGCAAGCTAGGGCTCAGGTAACACTCGTTAATACACTGGAAACGCTTCCCACGGACGTTTGCTCCCTTACTGAGACACGCCTACAGGATTCGAGTACTGTATTGCAACTCGTTTTTACCTTCTCCGGATTCTACAAGCTCGTTCACCCTCCGACTCTCCGGAGATCCAATGGCAGAGGGCGCTGGTCAGGCTGGTGGGGATAGCACTGAGTGCACGTGCAGAAACAGCTTTACTCGACTGGATTCTAATCAATATTAGACTCTGCGCCATCCCTCTGAAAGGGTCGGTAAGTGCATCTCGAAATGGTACTCAAACGTTCTTTCTGATCGTCATCGTGGCTTATGCCCCAACAGACTGCAGTTTCGACACAAAAAAGGACGAGTTCTACCACGAGCTCACCAACCTCCTCCATAGTAGACGACATACTGACATTATACCAACCGGCGACCTGAACGCGCAAGTAGGTAGGTTAGACGCTGACGAAACCTCACTTGGTGACCAGCATAGCCTCGGTGATAGGAGAACTGACGTCGGCGACCGTCTCCTGCAAATCTGCGCTGAACATGGTCTTTTCCTTTCAAGTACCGACTTTCACCGACTATTGCGCCAAATAGAGCACCTTTTAAATGTAGGAAACAGGATAAAAATGGGGAATATGTAAATTGAGGTCATTCTTATAGATGAAGTTCATCCGAGAACACTTCCTCTCAAAACTGGCCCATTAGGAGCTTGAAGTCAATTCATGAAGTTGGAAGGGCAGTGGGATTTCTCTTGTATTAGCATTATCACGTTATGCTCCCCTGTGTTGGCCAATGTTTTTACCAGCCTAATACTTCTGCATGGCTGTCTACTTTTACCTAGAATAAAGTATCATTTGCCTCTTTCACCACTTCCTCTAATAACGCGTTCCAGTCACTAGTCACTCTTCTTGACAGGCTACAGACCAGCGGCAGACCGTTTGACTGCATCTTGCGGAGAGTAAGAGCAGATCGCCTGATACAATCGTTGTTCCTCTGGGAGAGTTTCGATTGCGATTCTGGTCCAAAGTCATCCCGTGTGATGTGCTTGATGTAGGTCACTCGTCAGGCATTTGCATGCTATGGGATACAACCCTGTAGCCACCAGTTATCCCAGTTATCTGCCATTTTCCTTTTAAACTGTTTCACCTTTTTCCACTTTGTTCTGTATTCCAATCCATCCATATATATATATATATATATATATATATATATATATATATATATAT